TGTAGAAATTCTTAATGAAATATTGTGTTTATTAGATATCTATATGTGATTAAAAGTAAAAAAATATTTACAGTGACTCTACCATGGATTTAACTAATTGATTGCTGGCCAACTAGATCGATTCTTTTATGAGACCTAGTAGTTGAGTTGTAACACGGCTTTTCCCCTAAATAGACCATGGCATATTGACCAGTAGAATCATTTATCATAGCAATGACTTCGGATGGCATTATTTCAAAAATGCGCCTCGGTAACCAACACTGGAAAAGCTCCAGCGAATGTCGATCAATTAAATGAATAAGTAAACATTTACCATACCTGGTATCTTTGACCATTATCGTTTTAATAATATAAAGTTGACCTATAACCAATGACTTTAGTTCTCTTTGGTCCAATATTGTGGGCCAGTCTCCAAGTAATTTATTAACCGCATCAATTTGCGTTTGAGCCATAGTAGAATACAAATAAATATTTTTTTACCTGAATAATACACACACAATACTACACTTGGTAACTATTTGGAACTTGTAGACCTTTTAAATTTCACGATTTTAAACTGATTTTATTTGGATGCGGATCCTAGTATATATCCTCTAGAAAATGCCCCCACTTTTTCTCAGCCCTACCCCGATATTTCGGTTAAGCGCGACCGTCTCTAACGCAGGCTAAGCACTCTAGGCACGACGGTCGAGAGTTAAGGACCTACTGCCAACAGTAATCACTAGGAGGCACTTAGATAACATTCATTACACTACATTGCATACAGTAATTACTACCTAAGGTGTACTTACACTTTAATATGTATGGAGTAATGAGATGTATACCCTGTGGGTAATTGGGAGGTACTTATTATGCAATTACAATCATTACAGTATGGCGTGTACATGGTAATTGGGAGGTACTTACTGTGCAATTGCACTTATTACAGTACATGATGTAATTGGGTGGTACTTACTGTGCAATTGCACTTATTACAGTACATGATGTAATTGGGAGGTACTTGCTAATTGCGCGAAGGGTGGGGGGTACTTAGGATAATTACTAATTACCCAATTACCTCTCTCTGTACCTCTTTCTCATTTCCAGAACCGGCCAATTACATCTACTCTGAGGATCTCAATTTTATTGCACTAATTCGTTTTACTGATGAGGCAGGGTTTACACGAAATGGAGTTTTTAATTTCCATAATTTGCATATGTGGGCCGACGAAAATCCCCATAGTATCGTGAAATCCAGGCATCAAGTTCGTTTTTCATTAAACATTTGGATGGGTATTTATGACGACTGGTTACTAGGTCCGATTGTACTACCTAACCGATTAACGGGAGCTGACTACGTAAACTTTTTGCAGAACATATTGGGTGATCTTTTAGATGACATTCCTTTAATAAAAAGAAATCAAATGTGGTTCCAGCACGATGGTGCTCCGGCGCATTTTTCAGTTGCCGTAAGAGAACATTTAGACGGATCCTTTGGTCGAAGATGGATAGGAAGGGGCGGACCTGTGCCATGGCCTGCAAGGTCGCCTGATTTAAATCCCTTGACTTTTTTCTTTGGGGACACTTAAAAAATTTAGTGTACGCCACTCCTGTGAATAACCTCGAAGAGCTGCAGCAACGAATAGAGCAGGGATGTCATCGAATCCTAGCCAATGAGGGTGTTTATAAATATCATTGTTTTTTTATAATAATAAAAAATTGTTATAAACACAAAATGGTCCGTATCTCCGAAACCGTTAATTTGCGGTCATATATTTATTAAGACTTTTCTGCTTATTTTGGGTCATACTATTCACCATTTCATTTTGTGACACTTTTTTTTTAACATCCTGTATAATATACATGATGGGAGAATTTTTTTTCGACAATCACAGCTCAACTGGGCTTTTCTGTATAATTCGCAAACTTAATCGTTTCTCATAATAATTGAAATATGATAGAAGAGTGCCAGAAAGTAACATTTATGTGCCGCAAAATTTTTATCTGTACAGCTTCTAATAAAAAATCATAAATATCATTGTTGTCTCGAGTACCTACACACAGAAATTGAAAATACTTCACCAGAGTTGAGAGAAAAAGTTAATTCATTGTTAACATTTATTTATTTATGAAACTACATACAGTTTATGAATTGAATGAAAAAATATGAAACTAAAAGTGTTTCTGAAAATATAATCATGGGATAGTTTGAAAAACCATCCAAATCAAGAAAACCTTTATTATGTGGTCAATATATTCAATGCTAAAATTGACTATTAATACTAATCATATTATTGACATATCGATGTATGCAAAATTTAGTTCTTTTTTTACATTTCTGCACTTGTTGTTCTGAGAAAGTAACCACTTTCATAATTTCTAATATTTCAATTTTATTTTTTTGCAATATTGACAGTAATTCTTGGAACACAATATTTTTTTTATATGTATAACATTTACAAATTGGATATGACTAGATTTAACCTTAATAAATAAAAACATTAAAAAACTTATAAGTAGAAAAATAGATGCAAAATATTACATTACACACTTATACTTCATCTAATAGTTCATTGTACAATGTAAATGATGAAAAAAAATATTTATAAAAACAGCCAGAAATAAATAAGTATTAGAATATGATATATATTTTTTTTGTATTCATGATGATGGTTAGAAAGTCCAATAATATAATAACGCATAGCACAAGTAATCTTGGGAAAGATATTTAAAATATCATAATATTAATATTTTTGAAGGTATTGAATACGAATCTGAACTTTACCACCTTTAATTTTTACGGGAAAACGTATTAAGCAGAAAATAAAAATGTAGTTCCAATTAAAACATGCAGTTCATGAAATTTTTATTTTTTTTTAACATATTCAATCAGTATTGTCAAAAAATCGAACCAAAGTTGGATGGTGTGGAGTCGACATGGTTCATAGCACTTGGTATTGCTCATTTTAGATAGAAACAAAAATAGCAGATGGCAAAAAACACCTGCGCGACCACTAATATTATAGTCATTAACACTATTGCTACTCCTGATGCTATAATCCGTTTAGAGACTGGAAGAATAAAGTTTGCATTTAATTTTTTTTTTTTTATTTTTGAATTTTGTAACTCTGAAGCGGTTGAATGGATTTATCAAACCAAAAATTATTCTTATAGGAAATTTGACGCTCTACAAAAAAGTCTTTGGAACATTTTTGATTATTTTAACCATGTAGAAGTTATTCGAGGTCAAAATTAAAGTTACAAAAAAATTCTATCTTTTTTTTCAGATTTTGATGAAATTATCAATTTTTTTAAAATATTTTGTTCTGAATCACATTTTATGATGTGTTTCGATCATTTGGTGAGTATTTTAAGTCTTTTATATAAATTGTTTTGTCATAAAAACTTTTACTTAGACATTTTTTATTTCACGAATCAACTGAAGTTATTTAATTCATAAAAAAATTTACAACAGTAATTTATTGTAAAATAAAGTGCACTTTTTTACCGACAAAAAGACAAAAGTTATGATTTTGCTTTACACTGTGCCACATTGTTTTGACATTCTCTTTTGAAATTTTCCTTGGATAGTGCTATTTATAGTTTTGCTCTGTAACTTTATAGTTATTTTGTTAATTATTCCATCAAATATAATGGATTTAAAAAAATACTTAATCGGTGAGATCATGAAAATTTTGTAGGTCGAAAATGACCAACAAATAAAGAGGTTCTGTCAGTATTTTTATATCAGCATTTTATATATAAGCTAACATTAAAACAAAGTGCTTTGGTTACAATAAAAAAAGTTAAAGAGAAATGGTTGCAAGCTGAACTTCCAACTTGTAAACATTTTCATGCTGTGCAAATAGTTTTAAAGTTATTTAATCAATGGTTAAAATTCAAAAAAAGTCAATACAGAAAAAAGTCTCCAACGCAGAAAAAAAAACGAGGCAATGTTTAAAGAAAAATTTGGTAAATTATTCGATATTGCTCGTTTAGATCCAAAGCAGAAACTTGACGATACAAAGCAACTATTTTTAGAAGCTCAAAGATCTACCAAGCGTTATGGATTTATTGACCCAAGTGTTTCAAACGAAAAAACTGATCAAGATACTATGGATGTTAATGGTTATTAATCATTTTATTTCCTAGAAAAAAATTATTTATTGCATTTAGTATTTCAAATAGAATTCTGCTTAATCCAATGTCTATTTTTTTACCAAAAATATTTGTTAATACATATTATTTCCACAGATATTAATCAGTCAAAATTTGATAATTATATTCAGGATAGTGGTGCTCTGGTACGTATCCAATCGTCAACTGATACAGAAACAACATTTGGTAGTCAGAAATCAGCTGTCGTTTCTGACTATAAACCTTCTTTCAGTCAGCTCAATCCGCCTCCCAAAATTGATGTTATGACTCTTGAACTTGCATCTGCCCTTGATAGAGCAAACGTTAGTAACCAAAATGCTACTTTTGTTTTAGCTGCTGCTTACCAAAGCATTGGAATAAATATAGAAACATTAAACTTAAGCTATAGTACTATTCGACGAGGTCGTATAGAGTTTAGAAAAACTATCGCTGAACACTTGAAAAATGAGTTCAAAGCTGAAGATCGTTACACTGTTCATTGGGATGGCAAGCTTCTAGCTGATTTGGCCGGTTATGAAACTGTAGATAGAATTGCATTCATATTATCCACTTCGAATGTTAATCAACTCCTCGATGTACCAAAAATATCTGATGGAACTGCAGAAAATCATTCTGTAGCAATATTAAATACATTGGAAGAGTGGAAAGTTACTTCTAACATCAAGGCAATGTGCTTTGATACTCCAGCAGTTAATACTGGTATGGTTTGTTTTGTTATCTTATTCAAATGATTGAAAATTAATTAATAGTTAACATTATTTTTTTTGCTCTAATTTATTGGACTTATCTATAATCCAGACATCTACACTTAATTTATAGGAATACTAAATGGTACAGCTACGTTGATTGAAAAAAAAATTGAACCGAAAACTAATTTGGTTACCTTGTCGCCACCATATTTTTGAAATTATTTTGAAAGGAGTTTTTGAAGTTTTCTGGCCGACAACTTCTGGTCCTAACGTTCCAATTTTTGGACATTTCAAAAATTTTTGAAGCGAAATCGATCACTCGAAGTACCAAAGTGGCATGCAAGATGAATTAATTGCAAATACATTTTTAACGAACAGACTTGAATTGATTAACCCAATTAATAATTTATTAAAGGTATATTATTATTTTGTGCTCGAAACAGTTGAAAATTTGCGTTTAATGATTTCAGTTATCGAATTTTTTATTAAACATGTTGCTCAGCCAAGAAATGATTATAAGGAACTTCTCGACTTATCATTGATTTTTTTTTATGGTCTCCCAGAAGGTACAGCAAGTTTTAAATGCCCAGGAGCAATGCATCATGCACGATGGATGGCTAAAGCGATTTACAGCTTAAAAATCTTCATGTTTAGAGGTCAATTTTCACTTTCTAAACGAGAAATTGATAGCTTGCGTCAAATATGTACTTTTATTATTTTAATTTACGTCAAAGTATGGTTTACTTGTTCTGTGGCAATCCAAGCGCCGAATAATGATCTACAACTGTTGAAGAAGTTACTTTCTTTTCCAGAAATTCAATTGCCAGTGCTACAAAAAGCTTTAAAAAAATTAAGTGCTCATCTATGGTACTGGGATGAAGAACTAGCAGCACTCGCATTATTTGATAACAATGTCTCAGATGAAATGAAAAGAAAAATGTGTAAAGCGATCAATCAAAATGAGCAGAGTAACATTATCAGAGAGAAACGATACGTCGCTAGAGAACTTGATTTAATGTCATTTTCAAACAAAGATTTGAGTGAATTTGTTTCGAAAAATTCACTCAAAGTTTTCGAAACGTTTGATTTACCATGTGATTTTCTAGAAGTAGATGTATCGCTGTGGCCTAACAATGAAAGTTAGAAAACCGAAAAATCGAAAAATCGAAAAATCGAAAAATCGAAAAATCGAAAAATCGAAAAATCGAAAAATCGAAAAATCGAAAAATCGAAAAATCGAAAAATCGAAAAATCGAAAAATCGAAAAATCGAAAAATCGAAAAATGGAAAAATCGAAAAATCGAAAAATCGAAAAACCGAAAAACCGAAAAATCGAAAAAAAATTGTTGTCTTATCGGTCACCACGCCTAAAAAGTGTAACTTGAATTAATATCAAAGAAAAAAAATTCTGCATAAATAAATAAATAAATAATAATTATAAAGTTGATAAAAAATGCTATGCAATAGCTTTACCGCGGCAGTCCCCGAGTGCCACAAGTATTTTTTGTTTAGTCGTTACTATGGCAACAGCTTCACCATAACTGATTTCGTCTAAACTAAAGTTAACATTAAATTATCTACAACTTAGCAACTATGCATTTTCTCACCACGAGATTTGGATTTTGTTTACTGGTTAGCATGGCAATAGTAACTGATTTCGGTTAAACGAATTGTAATCCCTATTTGTCTTGCTTGGCTGCCAGGCAAGGTAGCTTCTTTTAAATATTACATTTTATCTTCTGAAACTATATCATTATCTTCATGAACTTTTTTAACTTGTTACCAAAATTTAAATAATTTTCTAATATATATTTTTTAAATTCAATAGGAGACAATTTAAATTTATTTTTACCTGCCTCAGAACTGACATTTGTTAATGACTGCTAAAAACTACCTAACATCATTCTTCAGGTGTTCATACAGATGAACCATACTCACTAATGTGTTGTTTATCGATTTCCAGGTATTTGTAGATGACAAATATATTAGAAAACCACACAGCTTGGATATTATTGAGTAAAACAAAATAAAAATCAATTTTATGTTTTTTGCTTATAACTTTTTCCCAGAAAAATTCAAGATCACAAAGTTCAGATGTGTGTTCAGTATCCTCAAAAACACTTAAAAATTCTTCCCTATTTTGTGCACGATCCGTACTCTGTATGACTGGACTTACTAATCATTTAACATTTAAACTCATTTTCAAAAATCATACTTAGTACATGAGAGTATGGGCCAGTCCACCTTTGAGTAAAGTTGAAAGTTACTATTTGTTGATTTAATCGAATTAAATTACGGGTTTTGAGCTTACATTAAATTGTAATTAGATGAAACAAAATGGATTCTATGTATTTTGAGGTGATCTTTTCGAAAAAAGGCAAAACAAAATGTAGCAGTTTTTCGAAAGTGCCGAAATTTTGGATTTTGTCAATTTTTCAATTTTGCGCAGGCGCATGTCGGAAATAAATCAATATTTTTAAAACGCAATTTACGATATTTGAAAGCTTAGGAAAAATGCTAATTTTTATGTCTCTTGAGAAATTTTGATCCAATGCACCGTTCTCGCGGTATGGACGATTGAAATTTGTTTAGTATTTTGAGGCGACGAAGGTCAAAAAATTGAATTTGTTAAATGTTCAAACACTAAATTCTTCATAACATTGGTAAAAATTAAGATATTAAAGATATTAAAATGGGTTTTGAACTTAAGGGATGTGACTAGTGATTTCCAGAAGGGGGCAAGAGAAATCCCAAAATTGGGCATATGGCGGAAGGGCAAAGTGTACCGCGGTCCTAATTTCATTGTTTGTCTATAACGGCCAAACTATTTAAATTTTTTTAATGCCACTTACAAAGCTTACTCCTAAATGTAAAATCTTATGTGTGTGTGTGAATTTCACCTACATCGAACTATAATTGGCTAAGATATAAAACAATTAAATAAATATTTCCTTAAAAAAAATAATTTTTTTTTTCTTAAGTTTGAAGTGGCACAAAAATGACAAAAATGCACCCAATGGCTCAAAACTTTTTTTTAAGTACTCTATTGTGTCTAGAATACGATTACATTACGGAAAATTCTGCAAATATATTTTACCTATTATATTTTGACCACTGTTCATTGAGTGACGACCAAAAAACACGGTTTTTGAGAAAAGTTGCCTAAAATTGACAATTTTTAGTTTTTTGGTCTGAAAATTAAACAAACCCAAATTTCATGTCTTCTAAATGTGTATACAGAGTTTAAAGTGTGTATGTTTCTTCTAAGTTGTAGAATTCTCCTGACAAAAGTCCCATTACACGCGCTCCGCGGGATCCAAAACTCGTGTATACACTACATTACTGTAATTTGATTTTTTTGCGATTTCCAGTTTTAAATTTCTTACATATCTAAATTTATTGGGTTTAAAATTTATTAAATGGTATTTTACTGACTTGTTATAAGACGTTTCTTGAGTTTTGTTCAAAATATAGAATTACCGCCAAATTAGCCGCACGTCGCATCAAGGATAGTAATGGTCTCGGCATTCGCTATCTGACAAGTTTAAACTTCAAACGGTCATATTTTTACAAATTGAATCGCTTGATAGTGTTCATCGGAATAGATTTTTAATAACCGTGTTCAGCAAGCTCTGTGTACACGTGGCTTTTCGAACTTCTTCAGCAATTTATTGATTAAGTACGTTCCTAAATTAAGAAAATTCTATCACAGTGCTATAATTTTTGTTTCCAGGTTGCAATGGCTGGCCTGTGTTTATTATGTCATCAGACACTTGCATAGGGTGAACTATTGCAGATTTGCAATGCGACCTATGACATTCGAAATATAACCGAAAAGTACGCATTTTTTGTGCTTAGAAAATTGCTCGTAAAACGAGTGGTTTTTTCTTAAATCCAATATTTTCCCTTTTTTTTGAGAAAAAACAAGCACACTGTCGATTTTTTCCGTAATTTGTGCACTTTACAGACTGAAAATATATTAGAATCAGTAAGTTTAATGAGAAACAAGCTTACTTTCTCTCCCAATTGCCAGAAAATTCGAGTAGCTTCAATTCTCGCGAGAATTACCGATCTTTGCACACGTGCGCTCAGAAAACAGTGGATGCTAGAAAAAATGTATATGCCACAGTTTTTCGTGTCTTTTTTTTTTTCTTTATCATCTGATGGAAACAGTTTTCTATTCAGATAATTAGTTTTCGAGTTAATTAAGAAAAAAGTACGAGAAATTAAGAAAAAATTGTTTTGCAATTTTTTCAAAAAGTTGGGAACGTAACTAGAAAATACGTATTTTTGTCATGCATATATATCTTCTCCCATTTCAAGTTTTCTTGTAAATAACTAAAAACCAGATATTAGAGAACAAAAAGCAAGCTTATCACCAAGTTGCAAGTTACAATCAGGCTTAGGATTAATTTCCGAACATTTTTAAAGTATACCTTTTTGTGTATTTTTTTGTGCTTTTTTCGATGGCGAAGTTAGATTTTTCAAATATATTTTTTTTGTTAGAGTTTTCGGAAAACCCGGAAAAAATCATATGGGAAAAAAATTAAAAAAAAACTACGCCTTCCGGTTTCCTGCGAATTCCCAAAAAATTATGGCAGATTTCGCCGCGGGACTTATTTTATTTGAGAGCCAACAAAAAAATACGCAACTTCTCTCATGGGCACATATTTCTAACATTTATAATTTCACCACAAATTCATCGCAAATTTCATGTCCATGGTTCTGATCAAAAAAACGAAAAAATGACTTTTTGGTAAAAGCACTTCTGGCGGCGATAAATTCGCCATTAAAACTACCTGTGCAATGAATTTCCGAACTATTTTTGCCTCTTCTTTCGAATGGTGCATTTATTTTCACTATCGGAATGATACTTGCCCAGATAATTAGCATTTTTACAATGGAAAATTTCGGAAAACCCGGTTTTTCCTAGTTTAAAAAAATTTGAAAAACTGCTACATCTTTTTTTTTTTTTTTTTCGGAAAGATCACATCAAAATACACAAGGTTCTTTTTGTTTCATCCAATTACAAATTAATGTAAGCTCGAAGGGGCTTTTTTCGTTATTTAATTGGACTAATTGGGCTATAAAATATAGTTTGCTTACTTTAATCAGAGGTGAAAAAAGCGACCCTTTAATAACTAAGTATTAAATATATATTTAATTTTAAAGATTGTGTGCATAGTTCCTACGTTTATAGATATATCCGAAACCTATATCTGGCTTGGGAAACACTGAATGACGAACCGTCAGTACATGTTGGAGTTATGACATGGTGACAGTGGTTTAATTGAAAAGAGCTTATAACCTTTGAAACTGAGGTTTTCAAGTCAGACACTTAAACGAACAACATTTTGAAAGCAGGTATAGAGTCATAATCTCATTTTGCCAGCAAATAAACACATCATACTCAATCTTGTCCTATTTGGACTTAATACTAACACCAATTTCACTATCACATTGAAACCTCACTTTTCAAATATCCACTTGTAGTACGCTAGTCCTGGTACCTTTCCTAATCAACTTAGTATCGTGATCCCTGAAAGTGTTCAGCCTGTGTATTTCGCAATCGTTTCTGGATTGGGTTCTGGATGCGAATCCCGAGTCCTTGTTGTAGAAAGTGCCGCCGGACTGGTAGTAGTGCCTGTCGTTCGACGACCGTTGGAAACACGTGTCGAATGCCCTGCGGAATTCCTTTCGAAATTTGCCTGCAACAAAATTTAAAAAAAAGGGAATGATTAGAAAGTATATATTTTTAAAAATAAGTAAAAGTTATTTGGTTATAAGAGACACGAAAAAGTTTTTATTGGAGGCTTGGCTAACGCCCTCTGTATTAAAAAGAATACTAAAAGTTTTCATATTATGTTAATTTTACTAAATTAAATAAAATACAGTTTTCCAACAGAAATATCATAAATATTATGCATATCTGGTTGACTGTACTTTTAAATACATTCTACAGAAATCAATATGAACTACTTTTTCCACACATTTGTAAAAATAAAAAACAGCTGGCCTAGCAAATACTTTATGGTATGAACTGACATTTTCACCAATTAAACTCAAACTTTATCAATCAAATTCAATTTCAAAATGTTCGTTTATGAAATTGAAACGAATTTCGTCAATCAATGTCAGACAATTTCATTAAATAGTATTTTGCGAGCTTTGTTCTAATGAAAATGTTACTTTATTAAGGAATTTCACTTAGATATCATCGCCGAAACGAATTTGATTTATATTGAGCTTGACGGTAGATGTTCAAGAAAGTTTATCACGAATGTACAAGACCTGACTGAAAATATTTGGTAAAAGATCGTGCAAATATTTTTACGCATCTCAGTTCCAACCTTGAACTTTTAGAATTGTTCCACGCTTATACTGGCTAGACTGAGACTCTCTTAAACTAGTTTTTTTTTGATTAACCCAAAATCAAATAAAGGGATATCGAGAAAAATTATAATTATTGAAGTTTGTTGTGAAATTTATAAAAGTTTGGTGTTGGATACTCTAGTCACTTCCGCAGAATGATATTTTAACCCAGAAATAAAAATGGAACATTTATATCAAATAGAGGTGGGTAAAGCAAGCGATTTTTAAGAAGCAATGAACACAGGTTCTGCTACTAAATATAACTAAACATAAATGCCAAAAATAAATGCTACCTACTTTCTGTGCCTAAGCACCTGAGGTGGGATTTATGTCAATCCAAAGTTGGATGCCGAGTAAGTACAGTGAAGAAGGGGGTGAGTCGTAGAAAAAGTGATGTTTGTGAGTGAGCGCCAGGAGTTTAACCTCACATCCAACAATCCATGTGACAGTTCACTACCAAACTCCAAATAGGAAACTATAGCATCTCCTCTACAAGGCCATCAAGCGGCTACAAATCGAGTATGCTCCTCTTTTATTATATCAGTTACTTTACCATAAAAATAGATGCTGACAGTTAGCAAGTGGGGATAAATAATAAGCTAAGTTCAATATATACCCAAGTTTAATAATATAAATATAAATCGTGTTGACATGGGGGTCAACTTCGTTCACACTATGAAATATACTAATATTTACCAAATTAATAACAACTAAATCACTTAGTACATTACTATCAGATTCCCCAACTATTAACAGTAATCCAGTATCACCGGGAGTAATATTTACAACTAAAACGCTATATTAAACTTAAAAATCATTAAATGGGACTAGGGTTAATCGTAAAAATTTAACACATGAGGTGTGTACTGTATTTAGCAAATAAACAAATAATAGTGTACTATTTACATACGCTAGGGGTAAAAACATGTAAAACTCCGTTACTTATTAAAAATATTAACTACCCTTAAGAACATATCCCACAAAGAGCTCTTGGTGACGTGTTTCGGGTTTAATAAAAATGTACTGTAAACTATACACCCCTAAACCTCGTTTACATTAGGTTTAGATTAAAACACGTACTAATAACACCCCCCAGTAAAATAGATTAAATAGTAATAAGTAATATAAAAAAAATAAGATAGCAAAACTTGCGGTACACCCGCTTTAGTTTTCCTGCGGCGTGTTGTCTTCAGTTGTTGGGTCCCTAAGGCGTTTGCACGAACTGCGTACATGCCCCAGTTCACCACAATTCCAGCATACAACTTAATTCCTAAAAAATAAGGACTTCTTTCATATAATGTCAAATTGTGAGACGGAATTACTAAAGAATCGCTATTTCTGGTATCATAATCGTGAATATCTGCATTTGTCATAAACATATTTAAATTAGTTTTTACGTATATTAGCAGTTCAACCATATATATACAGGGCAGCGTTAATATTTTTGATTGTTTAAAAATATTTCTACAAGAAGCATTGTAAGGGGTTTTCTCGCCTCAGAGAAAACGATTACTTACAAATGACGCCTGTTGACGGGACGGCTCTCGGGCGCCAGATTTGATGTGTGGTTTACTCCACAATCTTTCGAAACGGCGTCGAAAGTACTCGGGCAGCACAGATGGAGATGAAAAATTCCAGGGGTCGTTGGTCACTCAGACACAGGTAATAAGTAACCACAAGTAACGGGCTTTAATCGTCACTTGTAGTGATAAAGAATTTCTCACTGCTGAAATAAAGGGGGAAGTAAATTAGGGATCAGTAACCTCAGTAACAGTCAAGGTAACGTTGACACATATATTGAATTTTAACTATTTACAATAAAAAAAATAAATAAATATTTCAACGCCCACCCCCGCTCGTAATTTTAAAACCCTGAACAAAATAAAAACAAACAGATCGGCCAGTAATGATTAGTCTCAATCAGACGGTAGAATTAAAATTAGAAGAAAGATGCTCGGTGGCAATAGTATCTAATTAATAAATTTGTCGGATCGGTGGTTGAGCCAAAACGAAACCAAAAACAAATAATAGCGGTCGTAGCAAAAGTTAATTAGTTAACTCTTAAATCGGCATAAAGATTACAGTTAAATATTTTGTTTCGTAAAAATAAATTAAAATCACGGTCGTAGTAAAAGTTATCTGGTTAACTCTCTAGTCGGTATTGAAACTGAAACAAACCTCCTTGTTTTAGTGAATGGGGAATAGATAAATGATAAGAAAACGGGATAGTATCAATCCTATGAGGAGTGCACTCGCCACAACCAGCACGCTCAACATAAAAATGATACTATCATTTTAATCACGGCACGGAGGTAACTAAAAGAAAATAATCAAAATCCGGGTTAGTATTTAATCCTATGATGAGTGTACTCGCCACAACCAGCCCACTCAAACACAAAACCAAATATCAAACCGGGTCAGTATTTATCCTACGATGAGTGTACTCGCCACAACCAGCACTCTCAAACATAAGAAAAACACTAATATGTTAATCACGGATAGGGGTTAATTTAAATAAAATCTAAAACCGGGATAGTATCTAATCCCATGTGAGCTTTCTCGCCACAACCAGTCCACTCGACATGAAAAATGATACTATTTCAACTTTCCAACTTTCGAACTAATTCTATTCCCAAGTAAAGAAACATAAATAAAAAAGTTAAACCAGATTGTGAATAAATAGAAACAAAATTTACGGTCGTAGTAAAAGTTTAGTAATTAACTATGTACGGAATTTAATTTAAATTTATTATTACTTAAAAAAAATTAGGAACAAAATCCACGGTCGCAATGAAAATTAACTAATCAACTGTATATGGAATTTAATTTGAAATTAGGTTTACTATTACTGTAAAATAGAAACACACTTCACGGTCGTAATAAAATTAATTAATTATTAAAATAGAAACAAAGTTTCTATTTCCTAGTAACCAAAAAAAAAAAACTAATTTTCAATGTTTCTAAATAAAATCAAAACTAAATAATTTATCTGTAAATCAAAATATTTTTAACGAAAATCTGAAATCAATTATTATTTCTCTTAAATAAAATCGAAAACGGAATAATTATTTCAAATGAAACCGGTATTCGAACGTTTTTAACTCAAGAACCGTCGACAAAAAAAATATGTAAACAAATTCGATGTACCTAACTACGGTATCGGCGATAATTTTCAGCGGTGTATATCGGAGCAGAAACAGGAGAAGCTAGTCGAATCGGTAACGTGAATTGAATGAATTTTTAAACCGAAAAATGAATTCCAGTCTCTATGCCCAAGCAGGCTAGCTCCCCACTCGATGTGCGCGAAGCGCGCGCGCTTTCGTTACTCAGGTAAAATACGCGAATTTAAATGAAACAAAATTTGATATACAGGGTCTACCCATGAAGTTAAAATAAAATAAAAAATAAAAATTGAAATTTATATCCGGAATAGGCCGAAATATAGTAATGAAAATTGACTTCATTACAGCATATCTAGAAATGCCAGCGATATTTCTGAGACACCGTTTTTGAAGTCTAAAAAGTCTAATTAAATGGGGCGATGATCCCCAAAATATAATAACGTATTTAATTCGGGAGTATACCAAACCATAATAGTAAGAAATTAGAATTTTTTCATTGCATAATTGTTTAAGACGTATCAATGCATAACAAGAGGAACACACTTTTTTACACGTTTCATCTATATGTTTCATCCATGTTAGCGAAGCGTCAATATGAATTCCCAAAAATTTTGTGTTCTGGCTCTGTTGTATGGATTTGCCATTTATTTTTAGTAAATGGCATTCATCAGTTATCGGTCGAGGTGTAAAATGAACAAATGTTGTTTTCTCCGTATTCATACATAACTTATTTGATGAAAACCATTTTTTAAATTTGTTAATCATATATTGTAGTTTAACTAGACAATTATCTAATGTATCATCAGTGCATAGGTAATTATTATCATCCGCATATATTGTAAGATCATCGCCAAAGTTATGAATTTCCGGAAGATCGTTAACGTATATTAGGAAAAGCAAAGGGCCCAAAATGGACCCTTGTGGAACCCCTATTGATGTGTCTAAAACGTCTGATAATATGCCATTAATATCAACAACTTGTCTTCTATTGTCTAGGTAAGACATCAACCAATCGCTTAATTTTCCACGTAGACCATAGTTGTATAATTTGTGTTCTAAGATTTTGTAGTTGACTAAATCGAAAGCTTTGCTTAAGTCCATGAACATGCCTATGCACTTGTGTCCGTTATCTAACGCGTTATATACTCTATTTATAAATTGCACTAAAGCTGTTTGTGTACTTTTCGTTTTCCTAAAACCATGTTGGTTATTTA